GTGTGTGTATATGTATATATTCCTGATAGGGAATCTGTATTGGTCAATATATTTTTAAAACTCCCAAAATATCGATATTGGTATCTGCTTTAAAGCGATTTCAGGAGGGATTAAACAAGACTTGTTATAATGCTGGGCTGCTTTAAGATACAAGGAACCATTAAAATACATCAGTGCAATTCTGATTTGAGATGCAGTTCACACATGAATAATGCACCGTAGCAATTAAATAAACATATAAACATTCAGCTTTCTTCTGGGTCTAAACACCCTTCAGATATTATAATAATAGTCATTTATGTCATATGTGTTTGATTTCCCATGATCCTTTACTGTAGAAAGTGCTTACGTTGTCTTAGAGCGTCACAAGTGACAAGTTATTTTAACTCCGCGGGTAGAATATAAAAGCTCCTCTTTGGTAACATTTTGTGGGTATTTTGACACCTGCACTCAGCTGCCAGAGAACTATAGCTGATGACATTGTAGTTTTGACATCTGCTCATCTCAGGAACTTTGCTTCATGTCATTCCCCTTTCCCATCTGTCCTGTCTTCTTTACTAAGCCTTTAGTAACAGAATAAAGGAGAAATTATTTTCCAGAGAGCAAAGAGTAAGCTTTACAGCGCTCATCAGCATGACAAAAAGAAGCCAGAACAGAGAGCCCGTAATAGGTAGACCGGTGAATAAGTAACTTTATGTGGAAAAAAACTGATGAGATTTTTGCAGGAAGTGTGTTTGTAGAGGCATCAATGAATGTTTTTTTTCCACCCACATTAACATGAGTGGAGTCAAAAGCTTGAGAGAGTCAGCTTTGCAGTGGCAGTAACACAAGCTTCCAACAGGTTCAAACGGATGAATAACTAACTATATATATATATTACATTTTGTTAATAAATACAGCTATATTTATCAACTCAACTATGTACAAGGTTATTGGGGTTTCTTTTTTTTTTTTGCACGCAAGAATAACTTTGCACCTGTGCAGCATCAACATTACGTCTGTGCATGTCTGCGTTTGTCTCAGCGCTCGCGATAAGACACTGGGTTTCTCCACGGTGGTTTCAAAGGGGGTTCAAAGTAACGATTCATCTCCACTTGTCAGCACATTCGTGGTTTTTGTAAAAGGCTTCATTGTAACATTTGGACTGATGTGTGTATGCCCGTGTGGCTCTGAGTTTCTTATTTGTTCATATAATGTTCAATGTGGCGTCACTACCTCTGCAACCTTCACTGTTCTCACACTTCAACTCTACAATACACCAGAAATCCTTCATGACGTGGAAAAAATATATTAGGGCGAATAAAAGGGTCCGACTTTGGACAACACAACAGGGATCGTCCGTTCCCTGTGATTCATGTGATAACGTAGCTGTGGCCTCTGACAATCATATAAGGGATGCTCTCTCACGGCTCAAAAGTGCATAATTGAGTTTCTGTGCCACACTGATGAGTGCAGCCATTTACATCAAAGGCAGGTGGGCGCGTTTGCTAACATGTGTCTCTTAAGTCTCAATTCAGTACCTTTTGTATTCCACTAAGATTATAGAAAATGATAGACAACCGGAGCACTCGTAGATGTGAAACGATCAGGGCTGATATGGATCTAGAGGTTTGGTGGTGACGGACAGAAACAGACTAGATGCTAATAAACACTCGCAGCTAAAAATTGTATAAATGTGGTAATGAATGAGAATATCTTTAGCATAACACACTGAAGGCGCAAACAATGTTGCATGCCAATTCAGAGTGTAGATAATGTTATTATCACATCTGTATCGGGGAAGATTCATTGGGTATGTTTTTGTATATTTTGTTATGTGTTTGCTAATGGAAAATTATATTTTTCCTGCATTCATTTGTGCACAGGTTACACTTGCTACTGTTTAAAATACACAACTTCCTCCTTTAACAATCTATGTGCCTGACTGAAGTACTGCAAAGGCGATGCAGGTGCCTGTAATCAAGCTTTTTAAAAGAAACTGTAGCGACTTGAGAAATAGCAAACGAAGCAAAGTGTTTGTAATACTGTTCAGGGCCCAAAGCACAAAAAACAAACGTAATTTCAATATTTGAATCGGGCAAGTTTCATTTTGAAATAAGAGCAAACCAATAAGCTGTGAAAATAGCAAATACAGGGGAGCACATTGCATTCCTTTGGAAAAGAGAAAATACTTAAGGAACATATAAAAGTAATCTCCAACTAGAAATTAGAAATCAACCTTCAGAAAGCAAATAACAGAAAAGAAATATTACTGTCCACTTTCTAAATCAATATAAGATCGCTACGAGACAGTATTACCATGGCAACACTGGTAAAGTATGAAGCAATTCTTATTATTTCAAAATAAAAATCGGAGCCCGAAGCCCAAGTTTTATTACAGCAGCCCGACAGATCACCAGTCTGTATTCATGTGAAGCGTTGCTTTTCAATCACATGCTTTATGAATGTACAAATTTCACTGGGCGGGATGATAACAGGATCATAAATTAACAAGCAAAGGTTACCAGAAATGCATGATTAGCTGGGGGATATTTCTTCTGCTCAGTATAGTGTTGTTGTGTTAGTGTTCAGCAAAATGCTGCCTTCAGTGTGGACCCACTTGCTTCTCCTGCAGTTGCTACTGTATGAAGAAGGAGAGAAAAATGGCTGAGTTGCTTTTTCCTCTCAAATTAGACGCAAATTGGAACCTTCGTATCACAGGGTGAAATATAATGTTGACACAGAGTTGGTACATGTGTTGCAATTCATTAACTGTGACCTGCATATTAGGTTATTTCACAGAGCAGTGTCTGTATTGCATTTACAGTCCTTCTCCGTGCTCTCTGACTCAGTGCCTTGCCAGAAAGTGCATATTATAAGTTAATGACTGCGTCATCTGAGACTATGGCGAGAAGTTTACAATGTGCATTTAACTTGGGATGGACACAACAGATAATATGGGCTAATATGGGATAATACTTGCAACATGAAGCTGAAATGAGAAATATTTTCGGTTTGATCAACTGACAGCAGTCTGTCTAAAATAATATGTTCAGCTTTCGACTCTTAATGGTTGCAGTGGGAAATGGTTTAAGCAGATTGTCTCAATGGAGCTAACATAAGGGGTCACGTAGCATATGTTCATTTCTGGTTAATGTTCTTGTTGCAGACATTGTTGCAGACTTTTCAGAAGGACGCCAGAGTTCAAAAACACTCAGCAGCATTACTTTGTTGCCAACCAGGAGGGCAGGCTTTAAACACAAGACCAGACACACTGAAGATCTATTTTATGGGCTACGTAAGGACTGGAATATGAACACTTAACAGCACGCGCAAACACACACAGGCATAACAGTGACTCACTCAAGAGAAACAGGCAGTAATCATACACATACACCCATGTGGCCACCCAAAACACAGACCCACACCTCCCTCTCCACATATGGACGCTTTTATTTTTGCAGGCACTAAGTGGATACATTAGACAAGAAGGTTGAATTGACAAGCCTATAACTTTAGAGCCAATAAACGCTAAGAGGCACCACAATGAAAGAGACCAGATCCAAGCAGCTCTGTTGACAACCTGGCCAAAATGCTGGAGCTGCTGGTCGGGCCCAGCAAATAAAGGGTGAAGCTTTTAGGCAATGAGCAGCAGGTGATCTCAGCTTTTCTGCAAGTCCTAATGCTCCTAAAAGCCACTCTCCCTGGTTCTGTAATTGGGCATCAGTAGTTAATGTAGTATTGACTGCATTACATGCTCCTGTGCATCCTTTCCCACTAATGCCATTTGCATCACCTTGTACATTTACCATATTGCTTAGCCAATAACTGTTAAAAGCAATCTGAATCATGAATCATATAGGGAACTTTTAGCTAGACAGACATCCAAAGGAGACAATTTACAGTTGAGTTAATTTGGGTACATTTGCCGCACAACATGGATTCAGCCAGACAGACCAATTTATGTCTCTGCCGCAATCCTTTTATTGGTTTTTAGATGTGTAAGTGAAAGGATGCTCTGCTAAGAGATATGAAATATCCATTTTCAAATGTAAATACTGGGTTACAAATGCATCCATTACTTTTGGAGGAGGAGGAGCCCTCTTCGATAAACTCAAAATGTGCAAAGGCTACTGTTTTTTGAGAAATAACGCACAAATAAAAGGTTAGTGGAGGCTGTCATTGTGCATGTCAGCAGGTGGTCAAAAAAGCAACCCTCAAAATACTCTTAAAGTAAGAAAAACATCAGAAAATAACTTCATTTCAGACCACATGACGCCTTCACTACTGATTATAGAATATTATTATCATGTTGTGCACATATTTAAATGCATACGCACTGACCTGCATGTGATAAACGCACTGCACATCTCAACATCAGTTTAATCCAAAATGGGACACCATTAGTGGAGAGTTTGATTTAAATTAAAATGAATTAGATTGCCTCACCCATTAACCTAAATACATTGAAATAGATAAGTAATGCAAGTAGGCCTATTTGGATGGAAAGTGAGTGAACGCTGCACGGTGCTATCCATAATTTGCAATCAAGTTAAAAGCACTCTGCTGTCATCTCCCATCCCGTGGTGATGTCAAAGGCTGCCTCGCTAACTTCACAGACGCAAAAAGCACTTAGAGGAGGAAAGAAAAGAGGAGCCACATGCACTGCAGCGTCTGCGGAGTAGAATCCTCAAACTCTGGGTTACACATCACAACGCCACAGAGAAATCCGCTGTAAATAAACATGCAACTCTCTCCGAACTAAACAGCAGTTTAGCAGTGGGGAGGCTATTTGTGTAAAGTGCAACCTCAACTTCATGGTACAGAAAGCAGTATTCCAGTTCCTTGGCGAAAACACGGAGCCTGTCGTGACTAAATGAGGTTTAGAAAGCTGATGTAAAGCGGAGGCTGCGGGTGCGCAGGGTCCGGGGCGACGGGAAACACTTGACGTGTAAAATGCCAGTAGTTTGCCGTGTTACTCCCCAGGTTCTAGCATCCTACGACCGGGAGCTGTTACTCACCCTCTTCCTTGTCCAACACCATCGTCCTGAGGAACGAGGAGTCCTTCCCCGGGCGATCCGTCCTCGGCTCCAGCAGGCTGCACCGCTCGGTCTGCTCAAAGCTTCTCTTGGAAATAGCTTTGAAACGCGCGGTTGACTAGACTACGCCTCGATGGACCAAAAAACCCTGGAAAGATGAATTGCCGTCTGCACGTTATTCTTTCTCCTCCTATCAATAATAATTCAGACACGGAATACGGCGAGATACGCGGCGAGATCCCTCTATCCGGACTGAAATGCAATGCAAATAAATAGCGATCAAACAGCGTTGGTAGCTCTTGATAAATTCCATGCGAATAAAAAGGCAAAAACAATGAAAAGCGATATAAATCTGGTGTCGCCTATCTGTAACTGTGCACACACGGACGGATCAGACGCTCAGACTGAACGGCTGAGCTCTGCTTCGCTGTTAATATTCTCTCTTTCTCGTTCTCATTTGCTCCGAGACAGCAACTATATTCAAACAAATCCAATTGCAAATCTGACAACTGCTAAAAGCAAACTCACACCGCCTCTCTCCCAGTTTATGTGCCGCGCTCGCCTTGGCTGCTACTGAATAAATGCGCGCAGTTTCCAGAGACCCTCGGATTCCCCTGTTAATTAAATCAATTCATTATGCTCAGATCTGATTAGCAGCCCTTCCCCCCTCTTTGAATCAATTATTCAATACACAAACATAATTGCTTGTGCCAGAGGTGTCTAAGTATTAGCTTATTTAACTCCAAGGACACTAATTACCCCTAGGGCAAGGGAACTTTTCTCATTAATTCTGACAAAACACAAAAGCACAGCTAAGGGAAAGTGTGTGTCTGTGTGTGTATATGTATGTGTGTGTAAGTGTGCGTGCGTGCGTGCGCGTGCGCGCATTGGATCTGCCTGCCTGAATGTGCGTGATAGAGCAGGAGGGAGTGCGCATGCACGTCAGGTTGTATTGATGCACGTGCGCACGGACGCGGGTGCGCGTATGTCAGAGAGTGAGCGAGACAGAGAGAGAGAGAGAGAGAGAGAGAGAGAGAGAGAGAGAGAGGGGCTGCTCCATAGGTGCCTGATACAGTTGGAGTAAACATAAAATGCGCTTATTGTTTTTCTTTCCTTACTTTTCTCCCCCTGCAGAATTTAATATAAATAACATCTAATTGTGGTCTACTTAGCAGTTAATTAGTGTCCAGACACAGTTGTCATACAGGCAGATACACAGTGGTTTCAAAAGAGACCGCACAACAGATGGGCTGCGTTTTTGATTAGTGGGTAGATAGAAGGTTCAGTTTCGAATCTGGTAATATAATTGTTGCCTGTTATTGCCAAGATGAAAGTGTTGCTGTTTCATGGTGGAGCCTTAAATAGCACCACTTTCACTTGCCCTGCAGAGACTGTTAACCAATTAAGGGTGAGATCCAACAAAGATTAGCCATTTAGGAGAGTGGAGTGGAGTATAGCTACAATAATGCTGGTTCGTCAGCAGCCAGCAGGCTGTCTGTGGTGTGAGCTTGCTCAGTCTGTCCTTGCCTTCTGTGACATTTTGCACCAACACTGCACATTATCATTAGCTACTCTATCATCAAATAATAATACATTATTGTAGTGATAATTACCCTCAAACTATCAGATCTGGAGCAACTCTAAGATCTGCACTCAACCACAGATGTGTGCAGTAAAACCTCATCTGTGAAGACATATTTATATCTGTATAAACTGGAATGGTGGTGAAAACTTAGAATAATACAAATATATATGAAATATATTATAAAATACATAAACTAAACTAAAAATAATCATATCCACATAAAAGTCCATCCATTTCGAGTTGAACCATGTTGCACTGTTTTTATAGATTCAGTTATCACAGTACAATATATGGACTACACATGCTTTCCCATTTGATAATTATCCTGCCCTGCATTTGAAATAACTTTTTTTTATAGACCCCACTAATGTGATCATGCACCACAAATCTAAGGTATAGAGCACACTGTACATAGCCCATAGGGATAATTTCAGTTCTCAGGGCAGCAGGCTGTGGTGAGATTGGATTGGCCTGATCCCGTTCTGTCCAGCTTCCTGGCTGACATGCTTGACTTTTCATCTCCACGGTCACATAGATTGATGACTTATGACCGAGAATGTATGTTTGCTGACCTCTAGCAAAGTGAGTGGCACATAATTAATCCAATCACACAGAAAACTGGAAATGAAAGGGGAATGAATGGTTCAGTATCATCGGGGCTTGACTTCAAATAACCATTTGACATTTGAATGCGGAAAAAAAACTCTATATAAAGACCGTTCAAAGAGAGAGAGAGAGAGAAAATGGTGTGTGTGAGGGGTGGGTAATAACGGATGGAGCTGTGAATTTACCACAATTGCCTCACTCAATACCTCAGGTTTTGGACTCTACGTGTTATACAAAATCATGTAGGTGAGGAAGTTTCATGTATATTTAAGCATCGCTGGTATTTGATCCTCATATGGACAAGTGGAGTAGTTGCAGAGACCATGTGTCTCTGTCCAACTGAGATAATCCTAATGCGAAGGCATGGACAGGTTGCAGAGTGGCTCTCAATCAAAGTTCTCATCAATATAAATTACCCAAATTACCTTTGAGTAAAGACACGACATTTTGTGCGTCTGTGATACGTGGCTCATGTAGGCCACGGTGTACTCTTCAGCCCCTCTTACAGTGTCTTGGGTGCAGACCCTTTCCCACTCTACATCCAACAGTGAGGTCAGTACATACTACAAACAAGCCCCTGAGTGGGCCTCTCTGATACACAGTTAATTAAAATTCATTTCTGAGCATGCATTAGCCATGCCCATCTATTTATGGGTAGCTCTCAAATGCAGCCACTACAAAACAGTGCTCTGTAATTAACCCCACCTAATCAGATAGCACACTAGTGTTGTGTTCCTATTCGTCCTGAGGCACACAGCCATTGGACAGAGGTTTCAGAGAGAGGATGAGCCCGTTCTATAGTCCAGAATGGCTAAGCAGATTAAAACCTCATATCAAACATGATATTTACAGGCAAGGCTCAGTGGAGAGTGCTCCTTTTATGTGGGATGGGGAGAGGCTTCAGGGCTGGGCTTTTAAAGCCATGTCCCTTAATTGTATTCTGGCTAAGTGGGATGAATGGTGCTTTTTAATCAGACTACTGACGGGGCTCTGTGTTGTAAAAGTATAAAGATGGTGTCCGATAGTTAAGATGTTGAATGATATGCTTTTAGTCCAGGTTTCCCAGCTTCTAGCAATATTCAAATGCATGCTTGCTTTAAGCTGACACCTGTAAACATCAGTGTTATTTCCCCTGACGTTTCTGCTACTGTAGCAAACACCAGTTTGGTAAGTACTTGTGCAAAATGATTTATAGTAATGTCACCATCTTTGGATGGAGTTTAGGCCTGTAACCTACAGGCAGACATTCATTTATTTGTGAATGTACACTGTGTTTAATATGCAATGTTATGTTCAGAGAGAAAAGCATTGCCTACCACTTGAATGAAGTCTCATTTAACAGTGAGATGTACTTTACTTTGTTACTCAGAGATTTCAGGTTCTGCTCCTCCTAGTGGCTGATCTCTGCCATGTTTTCCCCTCAGAGTTGTACACAAATGGGTTTGATAGCAGAGGTTAAGCACGTCACATAATGAATTGTAACATCTTTGTATTATCCTCCTCATGGAGCTCCTGAGACGTTATGTGGAAAATAGGAACTATTGGAATATTTTTGAGGTAACCCGACAGGCTCACCTTATAGATGGTAATAAGAATGGTGTAAGCCTGCTGTTCACATAGTCTATTTGAATTTCATGACCAATCAAATGTAGACAAGGTGTCATTTGGTGGGTAGAAAAGAGACCAGAGTGAATCCCTTTCCAAAACAGTTAATCCAACTTTAATCCTAGTCATTAGGAATTAGACATGCCGAGCTGTCCGGCCGTGCCTCTAAATTACAATCAAACGGTTACCAATTACACAAATTATTGATGGTAGATTCTCTTTTCAACTGCAAATTAAGGCTATTAAGGAAGGCTCCTTTTTAATGCAAAAGTGACTAATTAACCAGCGGATGGGAAATCTGCTGCCCAGATATCAAAAAAGTTCTCAGCACACATTGCAGAAACACAAGGGAACCAATTAGTTTAATTATCAAAACAGCTAATTAAAATTGCACAGTTCCTAATTAGTTCTTTGCTTTTGCCTCTAATTGACAGCATGGAGATAAATGGGCTGCCGATGAAAATGGGGAGAGGAGAAAAACAGGAGAAACTTCGGCGGAATATTTATGCTGACTTTATCTCCGTCTGTGTGGCAGCCCTTTAAAGTGGAAAATTAATGACCTTAATTCCCAAACTGTTTTTCCTCTAACGGTGCTCCCCTCTGCGCTCCTGGTGCATGCTCCTTTGTATGGGCCTGCCACACTGCCAACTGCTGGAATGGGAAAAAAGGGGGTACTTGGGGGTGGGAAGGAGCCACGATTCTCCTCCTAATGTGACAGCTCCCATCTAACAATGGAGAAAGATGAAAGAATGGAGCAGATGTAACCACTGGGAGCTTTGCATCATGGGACTGCAACTCTGTTGCACTTTCTTTAAAGCGCCTCTGTCATCTACAGGGGCACTAATTTGTCCCATGAAAAAGAAGGAACTCTGCCGGGACAGAGATAAAAGACATTTGATGGCTCAGAAAGAATAAGTTTTCAAATTTGAATTTTAGATTGATTAATAGGATGTCTGAACTGCCCTTGTACGTTTGCACAAAGACAGATTTGTAGATGTTACCAAGTGGCCTAAAGACTGCAAACACCACTGAGAACTTTTTGTTGTATCCTCCAGATTTATTGTTAGCATTCTCCCTCCTTTTTGGTATGATCTGTTTAAAGGTCCTTGAAACTAAAGAAGAAAGCTAGATCCTGTTCGACAGAAATGCTACACTAGCAAACCTGAACGACAACCATTTACCTCACAAGATTTTGTGTGAGACTTTGATTGTGTGTTTGTGTGTGTGTGTGTGTTGCCTTTCTCTGGTGTCTATCCTTTTGGCAGGCATTGTCTCTTTGTTTGTGCTCCTGCAAAGCCAACCTTGTCATGTGTAATCCCGTCCCTCTGCCTGCATGCAACGGACATGTGCGTCCTCTTGGCACATTAGCAGATAACTATCAACTAATCAGTTTACTTTTGGGACTGTGTTAAAATGTAAATTACATTAATGCTCAAATTATGCATCAAACTACGCAGATAGGCCCAGCCAGAGGCCGCATAATGCTAAGATCATTCAGTTAGTGCCTTCTACATGCAGTGTTAATGCACTCTGATTTCCCCTGCTCTGGTTCAAATCAAGTGCGATACGTCAGCCAGTTGGTGTCTGGGAAACTGGAGGAGCTTTGTATGAAGTGGAGGAAAAATCCTTTTTGCAAAGCTCCATTAAAAAACAGAGAGATGATAGCAGCCTGTTGGATTTCTTTTGTCTAATTCAGTGGAAAGGACTTTCTGCTCCATGTGCATTTTAACATTTTACTCACCGCTCAGTTGAAACTGTGGAGATATTAATTTACTTGTA